TTGGAACCTCCCCTGGATCATACATTTCAGAACCACATCACACTGAGCATTGTACCTATTAGGAGGTCCACAGGCAAGCTATGAGATGGTTGGTAAATGGGTGTTCGGCAGGACTGACTGCATTTGGATTATGTAGATTCTTATTAAAATGTTGAGCAGTCTGTGATGCTTTAAAATTGTGCATCTCAGAAGCATCTACAAAGCCTTTCTCGTTACAACTGTCTCAAAATGGGTCTCTGGTGAATATGCAGTGTTGGAAGATGTTACCATTATACATCGATGCAGAGCCAACATGCCACATAAAAATTGCTAGAAAGCTAAAGTGAAGAAACTGAAAATGTTATATACATGCAACATGAAATGGATTACACAGATTTTGAGATCCCTGCATGAACCTTTTAGTATGTTAAATCCAAAAATAGCAGTCTCCAAACGTATGAGAAACCATATTGTCCTTGTAGGAGTTAGACCTTGGTTCAGTAATTGTGTATTTAAATAAACATTTTCCACATCATTGATCAGTATACAAGTGGAACCATCTAACCTCGTAAGTATTGGCATCTATTTGAGAGTCTTTTTTTCTGCTGTTTCTGAAGATTCCTTGGCCTTTTTTTGTTAGGGTAGGCAATTACTTAAACATTGTTTCGATCAATTAAGTTGTAATATGCAAAGCTGCCAACTAAAATTTATGCAATAGTACCTTGATACATTTTTCAGGTTGTGGAGTCATCGATTGAGATTAGCTTAACACACAGTCCAAATTTAATTTTCGTAGGTTTGTAGGTCATGCTTTTTCTTATCTGGCTAATGTAATTAAAATTAGTGCTGGCCAGTAGAAATAAATGGATGAATATAATCAACGACAATCCAATTTCTAAAATAATATAATGGAAAAAATTTCTACAATGCTTTAGTGATAATGAAAGTTATTTTCAGTGCACTTAATGTACCATTTTAAAATATTTTCTTCATATGTTCTGCTGTCTTTCAAATGGGTCCCTTGATATGTTCAGGAGATGAGTTCAGGAGCATCCCTTTTATAAGACAGAGGAGTAAAAGGAAGCCATTCAGTCTATTGATTCTGCTCCACCATTCAGTGAGATCATGGCTGATCTGATAATGGTCAGCTCCTCCACTTTTTAGTTATTTTCCCAGTAACCATTGATTCCCTTAGTAATTTAAAATCTGCCTGTCTTAGCCTTGAATATCGTTAATGATCCAGCCATGACAGCCTTTTGCAGTAAAAAAAAAAATCCACAGATTCACCACACTTTTGAGAGAAGAAATTCCCTCTCATTTATGTCTTAAATGGTGAACCAGTATTTCTGAGATTATTTCCCCAGGTCCTAGACTCCCCCACAAATGGAAACAACCTTTCTGCATCTACCCTGTCTCGTTGCCCCGGGAATCTTCTCTTTTCATAAAGTAATCTCTTATTCTTCTAAATTTCAATGAGTACAAGTCCAAACTACTCAACCAATAGTCATAAGATAGTCACTCCAGATTTGGTAGCAGCCACGTGAACTTTCTCTGGACTGCCTTCAATGCCAGTATACCTTTTCCGAAGACAGGGGACCCAAAACTGTTGGTAGTATTCTTGTTGTGGTGTCTCTCATCTTGTATAGTTTTAGCAAAACCTCCCTACTTTTATACTCCATTCCCTTTGAAATAAAGGCCACATTGCATTTACTTTCTTTATCACCACTAAAGTTTGATCCTAGCTTTTTGTGATTCATGATCCAGGATTTTCAAATTCTTCAGTTCTGTAGCTTTCTGCAATCTTTCTCAGTTTAAATAATTTTCAGCTCCTTCTTTCTTCTTACATGATCTCATGTTTTCTCATATGACATTCCATTAGGCTAGTTTTTGCCCACTCGCTTAACCTGTTTATATCCCTCTGCAGAATCTTTGTGTCATCTTCACCATTTGCCTTCGCAACTCATTTTGTCATCTGCCGACTTGGGTACAGTACATTGACGTCTGTCATCCAAGTCATTAATGTATATTGTTAATAATAGTGTCCCCAGCACGGATTCCCATGGCACTCCACTAGTTTTAGGTCATCATCCTCAAAATACCTTCCCTTATCTTTTTTTTTAATTTAAGTAGCCGAATGTGTGGTGCCGTAACAAACACCTCTTAAAATCTAAATATATTACATCTACTGCCTCTCCTTGATTATGTATTAATTTTGCAATGCTGTTAGTAGTGCTGTTTCTGATCCTAATCTATGGTCCCACAATGTGAAAGTATGACGAGAACTATATTAAGTATATTGATTTTCTTCAATGGCGTTTAATCATAGACAATATATGTTAGGTAATATTGTAAAATCATTCTGTTGTAGAAATTACTTAGAATTACTTAGACACATATATAATCCCTGTTTTATTGTTCTTCTGAAATTAATTAATGGATTAAGGAAGATTATTTTAAATTTAGGAGGTCGGAATATAATGCTGAGGATTCTGTCATTGAAGAATAGTATTCCTGGATATTTCCAACTGAATTTCTTAATACAAAGCAACAAGGTGTAGGTCAGCAGAAAAAATATCTATAGAAGCTGAGGAATACATGAATAATAAAAGTTCTTTTACTGGTTGAGCTTTGAAGTTTGGTCTTTTTTTTTTGCATTTCTGCACCAACCTTTAGTCTCCCACATTTATTCGCTCGTCCACAATTCCTAATGTCTTCCCCCATAGCAAGTATCTCCGTTTTCCCACATTGAAATCCATTTGCCATAGCCTGCCCACCTACTCAGTCTGTGTCACTTTTTAACTTGCCCCATCTCAACAACTCAATGTGGCTCCTAACAGTGTTACCTTGACACTTAATCTCTCAACATACATGTGAAACTTGTGTGAACGATTTCCAGGCAATAAGTTTATCTTGTTAAATTACGTGGTGGCTTTATGTTGCAAGGGCCTTCGTGCTCCTAAGCTAGAAAAGGGAAAAAGAAGCTATGTGTTTGTCCCTAATTGGTATTCTGCAGTAGTCACAAATTTCATTTGTATTCTGCCAATGAGAACATAAAATATGAGTGTAAACCTTGTGACACACAGTAACTTATCTACTTTGTACGCCCATTTTCTAATATGCAACTAAAGTTGTAATATTCCAACATTCCTAACATTTTTGCTTCCATTACTTTAATTCATTATTCCAATATTTAGCATTTTTTCAGTGAATGCGTTTCTTAGATATACATTTAAATGCACTTTTTTGACTAATTTAAATTCTCCCCTTGTCTTAACTTTCCTGCCTAATATGAAGTAAAGTTCTGGGTTCACCTCACCAATATTTGCCATTTAATATTGTGTTTTCTCCAGTGAGGCTTCATTGTCTTCCTTCTAGATTATAATGAAACAACTGGCATATATATAAAGCCTTTAACACAGTAAAATATCTCTCTGTATTTAAGAGCTAAATTGAACTAAAACTGGAAAGGCCGAGCTTTGGTCTTTGTTCGTGGCTCATTGCCATTCCATTTGGGGTTGCTGAGCTACTTTCTCCTACCCTCTCCAACAATTTGTTTTTCTAGCTTAACCAGAGCTGTAATAACATAACTGCAATGACTAGTGCTTTATAAAGTGCTAACCTAACCACTGAAGGTTTACCATCTTGGCAGTATTTCAGGAATCAGTCTGCTTATTTCTTTTCATGTAGAAATTTAATCTATCATCTTTGTTATTTCTTTGACCCTTTGTCAACCACTGAGACTTGCTTATCATATACTTTTCACCAGCCTGTGGGATGTAATTGATCAGTGCTTTCAGGTGTTAACGAACGGCTTGATTTCAGACCATCCAAAGATGAAGCCTACACTGTTTAGGGGAGCTGGTGGCATAGTGGTAGTGGACTAGTAATCCAGAAACCAAGCTAATTCTCTGGGGATACTAGTTTAAATCCCACCACAGCTAGTGGAATTTAAATTCGAGACATTGGATCTTGTGGTACAATGGTGGTGTCCCTACCTCTAGGACAGAAGATCCAAGTTGAAGTCCCACTTGTAACAGATGTCATAACATGTCTGAACAGAGTGATTAAAACACAATTCCTTTCATTTATCCCCAATTAAATTAATACATCATGGCTATCTAAAGTTAACTCACCAATTTAAATCTGATCTGATATTTAACATTGCTGCTGGCTATTGCTTTTACGTTAGATTTTGCTATTCAAATTGCTACTGTAGCTTAGAATTGACAGTAGTCCAAGTACTGAAACTTGCAGAACTTAAAACCATCATGGATGGTGTCACACCCTGTTGTGAATTACAAATGAACCCAAGGTAACGGTTGAATCCATCCTCTTGAGCATGGAACTTGGCTATCAGTTTCTGCTCGATGATTCTATGTTGTGTATCTGGAAGACCGCCTTGGAGGACGCTAAGCTGAATGTCCTTGACTGCTGAAGTGTTCCTCGCCTGGCGATCGTTGCGGGGAGTCTACGAAGGTGCCAGTTTCAAATAGTCATCTTAATGCTGTGTACCATGTTATAGGAGAGCAAGAGTTAAGACAGAACGAGTGCCTTGTGTTACCTAGGAACAAATACAGTCAGTTGATAGTGATAGTGAGTCCACTGTATGTTTGATTGCAGAGGTCACATGGCCCAAGGAGGCTTGTGCTGAAAGAGAAGGAAACTGGGATGGGTGGAATGGAGCAGGCAATTACTAGTTACTAAGTCGTGTGTTGTTTACCTCCACATCATTTTAATAACTTTTATTTCAACTGAGTAAAATTGCAGAATGCGCTTTCTAAATCTATTAAAATATTCAAATCAAGTTCATAGGAATTTTTGTAAGTGACCTTTGAAAATTGAGTTTGCATATGAAGGCTAAAGGAGACCTGGCGGTGGAATATAATGTAAAAACAATGAGTTGAGTTGCATTGTGTACAGGAGTTAATTCTGAACTTGTTACAGTGGCCCCTTATAAAAATGAGGACAAGTATTTCATCTTGAACGATGTGGTTGAATGTTTATCATGCTTTAATTTTCAGGTGGCAGCTGTAAGTACTATTGTAAATAAAGGGACACCACTGAAAGCATTCGTCTTCAGAAACTACAATCACCTTCCCAGTGTACGGTCACGCTATATGGGTGGCTGTAAATATAAGCTATGGCAGGCAATTCGAGCATCCTCGGCAGCACCTGGCTATTTCCAAGAATATGCGATTGGCAATGACCTTCATCAGGTATGGCTAACTGCATTATCCCACGTCTGTGCGTTGCCATTGGTACACCTTTTTTTTTTTGACAGTTATTAAAATTGTATTTAAAACAATACCTTTCATGTCCTGATAGTTTCAAAACAATCTACAAAAGTTAAATACTTTGAACTATAATTACTTCTGTGAAGGCAAATGTGATGGCTAATTTATGTACTCAAGGTTCCACTAACAAAGTTTGTTCACCTGATGTCATAAAATTGGCTAAATATTGGCAGGAAGTGAGTCACCCTGCTTCCCATCAAAAACAGTGGCCTGTAAAGGGCCACATGCCTTTTGTTTTTGGACAATAAACTGGAAGGGATGTCAGACACTGCTATATAGCTAAAATATCTGGAGAAGTTTTCAACTTTGTAAAATCAAGTAATGCACATTTTTAGGTGTCATAGAGAATGTTGCTTTTTTTGCAAAGCAGTGAGTTCTTTTCACCTTGGACTGAGTGGCATCAAGACCTTTTGAGTTCAGGAAAGACTGCCTGATGACAGACCTCAGATTAGTTGAGCTACAGTTTACTCCAAGTCTGTGGTTGCAAGATAGCCAGAGACATGCAGAATTTGCAAATTGAAAATATCTTACTGTCCATTTCTTACTGTGTGAGTGAAAGGGTAAGGACCAAGAAAGTTTGTAAGGGAGAACTCTAACCAGAAAAGACCTAGGTCCACCTGATCAACTCACATCAGAACAATCATCACTTTACAGATAAGTGTGTCATCAGTGATTTTAAAAAATCAAAAGGTTATGTGATGTGGACATTGCTAGCTGGGCCAGCATTCCCATTCCCATTCCCATTCCCATTCCCATTCCCAGATGGCCATGAGGAATGGTGACCTACCCGATTAAACTGCTGTAGTACATCTGCTATAGATACACTGAGATTACCACGAGGAGAGAATTTGAGGATTTTGACCAAACAGCAAAACGGAAACATTGACATATTTCCAAGTCATGATGGTGAATGGCTTGGAGGGGATCTCTCACATTGTTGTGTTACCATGTATCTGCTGTATTTGCCCATCTACATGAAAGTAGTCATGCGTATGGAAGGTGGTGGAAAATGAGCTTGGGTGAATTTCTGCAGTGCTATGGTTAGATGCACTGAGCATCGGTGGTGGAAGAAGTGAGTGGCACCACATCCACAAACTATTATCCAGCTGTTTTGTCCTGGATGGTATCGAGCTTCTCGAGTTTTGTTGGAGTTGCAATCATCCAAGCAAGTGGGGAGTATTTCACCACATCCCTGACTTGTGCCTTTTGTAGATGGTGGACAGGCTTTGGGGAGTCGGGAGGTGAATTACTGCAGTTACTCAGTAGTTTCTGCCTTGATCTTGTAGCTACAGTATTTATGTGGTCAGTCCAGCTCAGTTTCTGGTCATTGGTAACCGCTAGGAATTTAATAGTGCGGTGTTCAGTGGTGCTCATGCCATTAAATGTCAAAGATGATAGTTAGGGCCATTGCCTGGCACTTGTGGGGTGGAAATATTACTTGTCAACTCAAACCTGGAAACTGTCTATGTCTTTGGATGTGGACTGCTTCAGTCCCTGAGGAATTGTGAATGGTGATGAACATTGTGCAATAATCAGCAAGCACCACCACTTTTGACCTTATGAAGGCTATTGAAGAAGCGGTCAAAGATGGTTGGCTGAGGACACTATCCTGAGGAACTCCTGCAGAGATATCCTGAAGTTGAGGTGACTGACTTCCAACAATCACAGCCATCTTCCTTTGTACCAGGTATGACTCAAACCAGTAGAGTTTCCCCGATTCCTGTTGACTCCAGATTTGTTCGGGCTCCTTGACACCACCCATTCAAATGCGGCCTTAAAGTCAGAATGTTGTCTGTGTGAGATTATTTAATGCACTTTTGTCACCTGGAGTTTTTATCCTCAAAATTTTGTTCTCTATCTATAGTTTCTATTCCACCCTTAGTATCTGTGTCAAATCATTTGCCTTTTGCCTGTGTTAATTGTGAGCGTGTGTGCGCTTGAACTTTTTTAAAGGGGGAATAGTTTAAGTCACTTTAAATTACAATAAATTGTTATTTTCTGTTAGTGGCAGAAACTGGTGTTAATTGCTTTCATCTGCAATAGCAGCGAGTCAGCTAACTGATCAACTTGGAGGTCCAACTGGGTTTTTAGCATTTTGTGTCAGCTTGTGGAACAGTGGGACCTGTGGATTATCAGTGTAATCTTCCCAGTTAAATCACAACAACTGCATATTACGTGCCTCCATAAGGTGTGTAAAATGGGTCAGGGCGCCTTCTCGTGGCAAGAATACGAAAAATGATCTGGTGATGAAATCAGAAGCACTCCAACAAATGTAAATAACAATTTGGTCTTGTGCCTCCTTATCTCCAATCACCTTCAGCTCAACAATGTTTAGAGAATTGTGTTCCTTCTGTGCTAAAACCTTATCCATTCCTCTTCCTTTCGTTCAATCATCGGCCTCAGTTATCTCGGCCCTTAGATCTAAAATTGCTTTTACAGACCTCTCTGCCACTCTTCCTTTTAAGGTACTGCCTAAAATTTACCTTTTAGGAAATGACTTATTTGTCTGCACCAACGCCTGCTCCTTCGGCCCAACAACATTTTTTGTCTTGTGGGCATGACTTGATGCCAACTACTTACATTTGGCCAAGACTTGCTGCCGAGAGTCATGAATGAAGGCTGCAAGTGTAGTTGAGATATTAAACCAATGTAAGTCAGCACCCTAATACAAAACAGACCCTGGAAATGGAAAATAAAAATTAGGGGAAAATGGAGAATTGTATATCACGAACCAAAATTCTCCATTATTTTCACTTCATGTCACTGCTGTTGTACTAATAGCTTTGTTCTTTCGTAACCCCAAAAAGACTTTTGATTACTCCTGTTAGATGAGAAGATTGGAAGCATGTTTTTCTTTCTTATAAAATAGTGCAGGACTGAGACCAATTGTCATAGATTCACTGGGATTAGTGAAAACACATTTAGATATATCCCAGCTTTAATGAAGCTTTAACTGTGAGTTCCCTGGGACTGCCAACCCTTAAGGACAGAATCCCTGACAATCCTGTGTAGCAAGCAGCTTTGTTTCCAGAGAAATAGGAGCCTGGTTGAGACTGACGTTACTGTACTCTACTGACGCTCTCTCTGATCCTGTCCTCTGGAATCAGCACAAGAAAGGCCTCTGCATTTCAACACTTACTCTGTTCTAGGATCAGCACCCAGATATCATGACAGAAACACGTCTGGTTTTCAGCTGACTAGATTTTAAATCCTGTTCCTTATATTCACAACAGTCAATATACAATGACAACTGAGGCTTTGCCTTTCATAAAGATAACATTTTTCTCAATTTCAATCTGGAAGTCAGGTAGTGAATTTTCTAAATAGGTTTCAGATTATAATTTATTTGTGAGCTAGTTTTGAAAATGAAAGAGCACAAATGAAAAGTCATAGTTAGGTTGTCTCTTCCAGTCCAAGTTATGAGTTTTCAAAGGAAAGATTCAGTCAGCTGTGATTAAAAAGTGATTGATCAAAAATTATTACAGTAGCCTTGAGCGACCTATTTTGAACTTTTGAATTCACCATATAGAGGACTGAACAAAAGCAGAGCTGTTCTTAGGTTACTGAAATCTTTTCTGCCAGTGTTTAAAGTCATTGATAAATGCCAGTGTGCTTACAACTGTTGTTGCAGAATAGTTATTATGGGTTCAACTGAGTCATTTCCTAAGCATTGAGACCAGCTCCAAGATAATATAGCATCCTCATAGTTTTCTCTGTCTACAATCATATGAAGAATTCTGTTTTTTAACCTAACATTATGAAATAAACAAGACCATTGTATTCACTTTCTAAAAATGTCATACATTCAAAGCTACTTTCTTGATTGTGGGCACGTGCACATCGGAGTGTGTTCTCGGGATAATTTTATGCTTCTATATTACTGGCTGTGTCTGTATTACTGCACATATATTGAATAAGCTTTGTTTTGATAATAAACTGATTACTGTGTTTAATAAGAAGCCAAGTTGGCAGATCTTTTTGTTTTAAAACGTGACGCAGACCATATGTATTAGTTGAACAGCTGCAGGAATCAGAGCTGGGGCTGCAATTATTTACAATCTGTGGTGATGGGTTTAAAAAGACACAAATTATGGTACAAACCAAAGTTTGTGGATGACACAAAAATAGGTGGGAAGGCAAGTGATAAGGATAACAAAAGAGTCTGCAGAGGGATATGGACCAGTTTGGGGTATCAAGTATACAAAATAGGGAGGTCTTGCTAAAATTACACAAGACACTACTCCGACCACACTGGAACTGCTGTGTCCCTTAGCTTTGAGTCCCTTATCTAAGGAAAAGAAAAACTAGCATTGGGGTTAGTCCTGAGGGGGTTCACTCGGCTGATCTGGGGTATGTACGGACTGTCTTGCGTGCAGTGGTTGAATAGGTTGGGTCTGTACTCAGTGGAGTTTAGAAGATTGAGAGGCAACCTTGTTGACACACACAAAAAATCCTTGGGGGGTCTTGACAGGGTTGATGTGAAAACGTTGCTTCACTTTGTGGGAGACTTAGGAGCCGAGCATGTAATCTCAGACCAAGAGGTCTCCTGTTGAAGACAGACATCAGGAGGAATTTCTTCTCTGAGGGTAGTGAATCTGTGAATTCTCTGTTGCAGAGGACTGTTGAGGTTGGTTTGTTTAGTGTAATCGAAGCTCTTAGCCTAAAAGGAGAAATAGATATTGAAATTTCAATAAGAAAGCTCTAATTAGTTTGTTGCTGAGTGATCCCTATTTGAGTACCGTTCAGAACTTGCTCGCAAACTAAACAATGATTTTATTCCTTCCTTAGAAACGAACATTAGTGTAAAGCAAGCTCCATTTTTTTTTTTTGAAAGGTTAACTGATGTAGAATGATTAATCTTCTGAATAATTTAATCCAGAAACATGCAATAAATTATCCTGCAGTCGGCAAGTTCAATTAAT